AGAAAATAATGCAAAAACCATGAATCTGAAAAGGGGTTAATATCCAAAATATATAAGAAACTCACAACTGAATAGTAAAAAGCAAATAACCCAATTAAAAATTGGGTATAGAACCTCCATAGACATTTCTCCAAAGACAACATAAAAATGGTGAACAGATATATGAAGGTGCTCAATATCATTAGGAAGGAAGGAAGGAGGGAAGGAGGGAGGGAGACAGGGAGGGGGATCTGTGATCTATTTTAATGCACAAGAGTAAACGTTTTTAATTTTTTTATTTTTAGTATTTTAAATATACATAGACATAATAACTTATTTATTTATTTATGCGAAGGATCGAATCCAGTGCCTCATAGTGGTTCTAGGCAAGCTGTCTACCACTGAGCTACAACTCCAGCCCAAGAAGTATCTGTTTTTCCCAGCAGAGGCCCCACCTCTCTCTCTCTCAGGAAAAGAGAGAATACAACAATTAAACCTTCCCTAATCAGAAAAGCAGAAAACAGCAGGAAAAATCCATAAGCCTACTTCCCATTATGAAACTTCTCAAATACTGCATCTTATACTTCAATATGTATCAGAATGATCTGAAGACTAATAGAAACATTYAAATTCATACAGTGTGGATGAAACCCAGGAATATGCACCTGTAACAGGTACTTCTGGTGATTCTGATTAAAAAGAAAAGCAAACCCATACTTTAAGAAACTATCCTAGAGTATTAGAATTACTGCTTAACTCCTCTGCTTTCCTAAGAACCATCAATGTATCTTTAACCTAAACATCAATTCCCTTATATTGTCCATAAGACCCTTCACCATCTGGCCCACGTCTATATAACTTCATTTCCACTGCTACATCCATCTCTGCCCTCCAGTCACCCTACACCATTATAGGCCTGGCTTCCCACTCCAAGTGACCAAACTCTGAGCCTCAGATAATTTTTCTATAAGAAACAGAGATGAAAATACTCACTCTTAGCTATTGCACTGGAACGGGTAGCATTTGGATAGTAAATGTGTTTGATTTCTTCCCCCTATAAAACATTCACTCTTCGCCCAAAAAGAGGAGTAGCCTGTCCAAAATAATATGAACTTCTTACAGATACACAATAACCCACAATAAGGATTTTATCTTCTCAACAGATAAGCTGTAAGCCCGACTGGGGGAGAATTTAGGAGTAGATGCTTAAGAAGCTACATTAAGGGCTGGAGATGTGGCTCAGCGGTAGCACGCTCGCCTGGCATGCGTGCGGCCCGGGTTCGATCCCCAGCACCACATACCAACAAAGATGTTGTGTCCGCCGAGAACTAAAAAATAAATATTAAAAATTCTCTCTCTCTCTCTCTTAAAAAAAAAAAAAGCTACATTAAAACAAAATGCTATACTGAAATTCTAAAGTTATATTACCACAAATTTTAGTTAATRATCATGTTGCTTAGTATTTTGATGCCAAAAGGAGAAAACCCAACCACTGATATTTAGAAAACGGGTTGCCGGACAACCAGCTAACTCATCCACAGATGTTATGTGTGTGAGGGAAGCAGGCAGGTGGGTACAGAGGATGAAGTTTACTATTCTAGCACATTTTTAAACACTTCATGCATTTACTATGTAGACACTTCATAAAACTACACATACAGTATAATTCTTCTTTCCAAGAAGCTTAATCCAGTTGAGGAAAATACTGATAAATGCTTTCTTCCATAGACAAAACAGCAATGGCCGCTATCATCCAAACTTCATCTTATTTATTCTCTTTAGAAAGCAGGAGGTACAAAGTTAAAAATAGGTATAATTTGGAAGACAGATGCATTTTTTAACAAATATCATCCCCACACAAAGGATTTAAAGAAACATCAGTTTTTAAAAAAATATTTATTTTTCAGTTTTTAGGTGGACACAATCTTTTTTTTYCCCCATAGTTATTAATATAYTTATTTGGACCAGAATCAGCATTTTTTTAAAAAACAAAGTAACCAGTGACTAGCTCATATTTATAGTTGAGTTTTATTACATTTTCTTATTTTCCCTGGGCCTTGGAAGTGTCAAACAGCACACAAAAGGCCTGGTTGTTAAAGGAAAGGAAGTGACATGAATTTCTGTGTAATATTTTAATATTTAAAAGTGAATAATCTATTTTTCTGGAAAAGTTATAATGTCTCACTCTATCTTATGGGCACAGATAGAAATTTGAATGCATTTAGCAGCAAAGGACTACCTCAGAAAGAATGTAATCAGAGCTGTCTAGCACAAAACCCTCAAACTTTCAAAGCAAATTTGGGGAAGAACATCAATGCTGYGTTATCCTCTCCACAAACCCATAGGCTACCAATCATTCAGTTTAGGGTGGCTAGATGTGAAAAGCAAGCAGCCAGTCAGGGACTGGGCAATTCCTAACTTTTGATGAACTTTCGTAGATCTGGTTTCTCCTCCAGGCGGGTCTGCAGGTTCAAGAATTCCCAGTATCGGTGGTTCACAGTGTGGTAGGCCAGCTGCTGCAGGGCACTGCTGTTCTCACTGTTAAAAGCTGTCTCATACTTTACAGTGTAGAGTGTATACGGGTGAAATCCAGTGCCACTGTGCTCTCGGGCAGTAATGGTACCAGTGATACGAAGGTTCTGGATGACAACTGGGCCATCTGGACTGCTCAGGGGCTCAAAGAAACGCYGGTGCTGCGGCCGGCCGGGGGCGGGTCACACGTCGCCAGGGGCCCCGCGTCCAGTCTGAGACCCCGCCTGAAGTGGACTCATTGGGGTTCCCGCCAACAGCCTCAGCCCGCAGCCACGGCAGGCTAGGGCGGCTAGGGCGACTGTGCCAGGGCTCTGGACACAATCTTTATTTTTATGTGGTGCTGAGAATCGAACCCAGTTCCTCACACATGCTAGGCAAGCACGCTACCACTTGAGCCACATCCCCAGCCCAGTAACATCAGTTTTGATACATTTTCATTACATTCTCCTGAGATCTGCGAGACAGGTATTATTCCCAATTTTATAGACAAAGCAGCTGAGGCTCACCTGTTACATTTGCCTCTGTTCAAGTTCCCAAAGCTTAGAAGTGGTTGTGCTGGGAACTAAACCTGAGGTTTAAYTCTAAGGTCCATTTTCCTTTCCTAGAATTGCAATTTAAGTATTCCTCTACTCTAGGTTACACATTTTTATGMTCGTCTCTGTCATAAAATAAAAATCTTTTAACAGCCTGAATGACAAAGTGGGGGGAAAGTAAGTTATGAACAAGCGTCAGGAAGTACAGAGGGCCAAATGAAGTCAACAGAAACCTTAACACAAGCAAAATTGAGAGTGCAGTTTTCTGTTCCTGAACCTGCTTGCCAAGCACCCTTCACATATTACTATTTGATTCTCTCTCAAGCCTGTGGCAGTGGGAAAACTATCATTTAAAAAAAAAAAAAAAAAAAAACTCTTAGCAGTAATACAAGACCTGATGTTCTCTCCTCAAAACTCCAATTACCAGCCGGGCATGGTGGCACTTAATTATAATTATTGATCAGGAGGCTGAGGCAGGAGGTTCGTTTGAAGTTTGAGGTCGGYCTGGGCAACATGTATGAGACAGCAACTCAAAAACAAACAAACAAAAAAACCAATTTTTTTWAAAAATTTTATCTACCCTCTCAAAGCAACCATTTGAATATTAAATAATTAAAAATTTAGGAAAATGTCCATGTTATATAAAAATATATAGGATAATCCCATTGTGTAAAATAACACCAAGAGTATGTTTTATGCACATTCAGACATGTCAATAAGCACAGATTTCAATAGTACATATAGCAAAGTAAATAATGGTTAGCTCTGAGGTATCCATTCAAATCAAATGGACAGGGAGATTTTTGACTTCTTTATTTTTTTACATGGTAATATTATGGGTTATTTTCACCTTGTTTCAGTAAAATCATATTCTACTTTTTAGTGCTTTTTAGAATGCAGCCAAGAAAGAGTTGGCATCTTGCATCTTGAGTTAGGGATGTTACTCACCTGTGTCTGAAGCTTCATACTGATTCAAACATCTAGAGGTATGCATGGATCTGAGTCCTAGGTTTGCAAGCCTGATATACCTAAGACTTTGTTTTTGATGATGTGATTTTCTATAAATCTGTCATGAATGTGAAAAATACAAATATATATGTGGAAATATTTTACTAAAATATGCAACAGGTGAGATCCCCTTCCTTAAGTCTTTAGGTATTTTTGGTCAGGCAAGGAGTTATAAAAAGTCACAAATTTAAAGAACATAAAAGTTGTATTTTACTGCAGAATGTTAGGAACAGCTCAATTCCACAGCCTAAATTCCAAAAAAATGCAAATCTGAGAAGAGAAGTTCCTGGAATATAATATAAGACTTGGGTAGAGAGGGTGGTGATTCCACGCTATTTGGGGAATTCCCAAATTGGCTTTATTTGACCAGGAAATCAACAACTTAAGAACTGCTTTCCAAAAGGCCATTTTGGATATTTACACAGCAAACCTTTAACAGTGATATCTGTGTTTTCGGAAATTTGATGGAATATTTTAATGGTTCTTAACCAAATTAATACCCAAACTTTTTWWAAAAAAATCCATAATAATGAAGCAATCCCAACTAAAACTAATAGCACTCATGCCTACATCAGGAGTAAGGTTTCTAGACCACCCAATTCTAGACCAGSTCAATTCTGAAAGTAAAATAAACTTCATCTTGAAGTTTGCTGAAAATAACCCTCAAAAGTGAAATACTGGTATTCAATTTTAAAAACAGGATATTTTCACTGAGGCAAAAATAACTAGCCATTTATTTTCATGAGAAATATACATACAAGGCATACTCAACAGCAGGGTCACAAATGATTGCCCCTCTCATAAAAGTAAACTGTGTCTTAATTAGGAAGAGAAATATTTATCATTCAGAAAAATCTTCATCTTTTCAAAAAACCTAAGTTGCAATATTGATTACTAAAAATTATACCACAGAAATACTAACACCAAAAGGGTTATTTCAGTCAATAATTTTGAGTCTCTTTAATCCCTTTTATTGCTTATTGGTTAACAATCGGAGTCCTTCAGCTGAAACTGAAGGGTTTTCTTGGAATTCTGTATAGAATTATACCATCTTTGGAGAAAACACTCTAACAAGAAATACTAAGAAATCAAATGGTCTAGATTTCACAAGATTTTTAAAGGTAAGCTAAGTCTTATATTTCAGAACAATTGCTATTATAACAAATTTTTATTTTTTTCATTCATAAAAACAGTCCACGGCATTCATAAAACATGATGGTAGAAGAAATTAAGAGACACACTTTTTAGGTGGATTCTTTACCTTTAAGAACAGGTGAGTAGGCAGTAATTTAATACAGATGGAAAACAAATACAATCCATATAAAAACAAGATTTGAATGGAGGTGGGAGAGAAGATATACCAGCCAAAGTAAATWTAGAACTTTCATGCATGCAACTCAACATCTGAATTTCCTTTACTTAAAAACCAAACTAAGTGCTTTAGTAGGTGTTTTACTGTAAAGAAAGCTACAGAAGTATTTTTAAAAGGTCAGCCTTGCATATACTACACTAACACGTACCAAAAAAATAAAGAGAGAAAGGGAGAGGAGAAATTAATAAGCCTCAGCTACACCTAAGCTACTCACAAGTTTTCTCTTACATAGACAGACACAGAAAAACAACTTTACAAGCTTTGCTTCAAGGTACAATACCTTAGATTTCTCACTTGAGTGTTTCCTGCTCATGCTCTTTTCAGTATAAACAAATATGGTKTGTGTGGTGGAACATATACTTGAAGAATTCCTTAAAAAAGAATCACAAGTTTCATTTTATATATACAACAAATTTTTAATTATGTACTGAAAATAAATTACAGGAAATAACTTTAAAATGCAACAGAGGACAAGTCACAATAAACATTCCCATTGAATTCCCTGGGGTGGGGGGTGGGGTGAGAATTGCAGTGCTCAAGGAAGATAAATATCACAAATATATCAAAAACTTCAAATTGTCTATGCATTCACACACTGACGTGAGCCACAAACATTCCTTTCACAGAAACTGTACTTATTAGCCTACCACAGAACCAGATTTTGCCATAAACTACAAAACTTTTAATACAAAATCTTTTTTATATATTTATAATTCATATACATGCCCTATCYGTGATTTTAGAAAATAAAAGCTACACACTGTACAGACACTCTTAACTCATAGCTGTAGGCAACATTTTTGGATGGAATTTCTCCCCCAATAAAATTAATGGCATATTTTATGTACATGAAGGCTAAACTGCAAAAAGACAGTTCAGTTTCCCAGATATGCATCTCCTTTTAGGGCAGGTTTATAAATTTAAAAAAGGCAAGACAAATGTACACCTCAGAATAACTTTCTTAGCTACAAGAGTTGCCATGTAATTTTTGTGAAATTTCCGATACATGCATTTATGTAATACTGGTATTGAAGGCAGTAAAGCAATATATACTTTTAATGTAGTGGCTCAATAAAGGCTTCATTGTCATTCCGATCTGATTCTTGATACAGTGATTCATAAATTCTTTAAAAATTAAAATTTCAATGGGACACTGTGTTAAAGAGACTCTAAATAGATTTCTTAAAATATTTCCCTGAAATATCCTTTTACATAAGACAAATTTCACTAACATTAGATTAAGTAAAAAGAAGAAAAAAAAAGAATTAAACATGGCACAAATGTGCATGATATAATAATGCTCCTCACCCAATCTCCAGGTCTTAGGAGCTTTTAAATGAATGCTTAAAACCAACAAACAATTTTCACACTCTGTGGCAGCCATCTGTGAAGCCAGTTATACTAAACTACTTCTACAGTTGATTGTAAACTTTGGTTTATTTTTATTTGAGTTCTCATTGTACAGCAAGCATGAAAAAAGGGAGTGGAGTCCATGAGGAGATGAACTGTCAGTCTGTCTTTAATCTGGCATGATGAGACACCTGGTCAGTCAGGCCTGCTTTGATAGAGTTTGTTACAGACTGCCTTATGTTTTCCTCCATCAAATTATCACCCAGGGGCTTCAATACCTGTGGTATGAGAAATGTGCAAAACAAACAAAACATGAGGTAAAAAAAGAGTTACATATAAAAATAGATATAAAAATTCAATTCAAAGCAATGACAAAAATAACCAGGAATGTGAGAAATAAAAAGATGTTTCTCCCAAAAAAAAAGTTATGATGATACAAGTAAAGCATTTAGACATTTTATAATGCAACAAAAATTACTTTCCTCTTATTCAAACCATTTACAAATCCTATGAGATGGATGTGCAATTCCATACCCTATATGCAGCATCAAATCTGGTATGTATACAGCATTTATGCAGACCGGCCCAGACGGTCCTGCTTATTGTCCTACATGTGTGAGTGTGAACACTTCAGATAGAGAAAAGAGTTAAAAATACTGTCTAATTTTTCTTCTTGTTATTGTTGGATGACAGTCTCTGTCGCTGTGCTGATGAAAGAGCACGATGAACCATTCGACGTCTAGTAACTTCAAACAGTTTGGAAAACACCTAAAACATGGAGTGATTTGTTAGGAGAATGACTCAAGAGTGCCTTGATGCTAAAGAGTTTAAGACTACAAGAATTTGAGACTGTAGGTTTCTCACCTTCCTGGGACTCCTCTGAAGCAAAAGAAAAGAGAAATGCAATACATTTTAGACAAGGTTTGTTGACATAACACAGATCTTCTCTGACTAGTGAGCACCTTACCTCAACAATACTATACTGAAAATAATTTTTGCACATCATTTAATTGTTTTGTAATATGGCACCTGTAAAATCCTATAATCAACGCTAGACAGATAAGCRTTTTTTAAAAGACAACGTGAAATTACTGAAATTCATGTTGCAGAAAATCAGTAATGATTCAAAATGATAAGTAGATCACACTCTTATAAAAAGTGAGGTGGTGATAGCTTTTAATCCATCTTCTATTAACAATTATCAAAGGACCATGAAATAGTAAGATTTATAAAGAAATAAAATTCTAAAATTTAACAAACATCCAAACACAAATAGAATACTTTCCTAAAGAGAAAAGGCAAAACTCAAATTAACACACTATTACAAGAAAAGTCAACATCTAATCAACTTTCTTCAAAAAATGGTCTGCTTCTTCAGTCTTTAAAGCCAAAAACAAACATGCACCTGCAAATCCTAAATCTTTAAATAGGTTCAACACCTTACTGGCCCAGAAGGAGCATGAAAATGCTCCTTCACATCATGATAATAACCTCAGCATGATGTTCAGGTATCTCATGATGATCATTTTAATRATATCCTTAAGGAGAATTATCTTTACACAGGCAAATCCAACATACAGGTGGCAGATATATAAAAACGCACTCCTTAGTAGATACTTGCTGGACAAGAGTTCACAGCCTGACTTTGAATTGTAATTTGAGGTAAAAGATTATGACTGAAGTTGGTTTCTCAGCTCATGGTTGCTTTACTTTGTCCTTTAGTATTTCCATGGTACAGAAGTCAAAGTTTCTTTGGAAAAAACTCTCTGTGGGATTGCTTCTTGTAGTACATCAATAAATCACCACTTTCTTCATGGAAGGCAATGACAGGAGTCTGTCATCCAATGTTTTTCCTGCACTGCTTCTTGCTGGTGTAAGAAACTTCTTTTTCTTTCCAAAAGCATGACTATACTTCCAAACTTCTTTTCCTCRCCTTTAAAACTATTCATTGATTATATTTTATTTTCTCAAACAAAAAAAAAATATTATTAGAGATCCTGGTCCTACCCACTGATGGCAAAATCAGGCCTATAACTAAGAATCTATCCTGAGAATATTACAGATTTAAGCTAACCAAAATACATTATGACTTTAAAGAAAAAGAAATTTTTMATTAGTACATTCTGTATCCAAACAAAACATAAAATATATTTTTATCATTCTTCATGTAACGGAAAGTAGTTGTGTTGATATGTAAACACTGCAGGGGAGGGGTGGGGAATAAAGGGAGTCATGGGGAAAATGAAAAACCAAAAGATAGATACCAACCTGTTCCCATAGTGTTTCAGCAATCTGATCAATCATTGTTCCAATTTCTCTGAACTCCCCAGAGTATTTAACATATGCCCAAGTACAAAGGGATGTCAGTGCTAACCCCATGACAAGGTTACACAAGACAGCTATAGAGTTCAGGCCAATGAAGCCAGTCAGTCCTGAGATTATATACATAGCAAACATGACCGCAAACAGTGTGGCAGGAGTACGAGCAGCATAGAAGATATTTTTGCCATCATTGTGCTTTATAAAATTTGCATAGGTTTCTTCAATTTCAGCTTCAAGCTGGTCCTGATAACGACGGCAGAACTCATCTCCACCCATTTTTTTCACAGAACGAAATTGTTTAAGTGCTACTTCCTTGAGATCCAAGTGTTTTCGCTCCAGATCTGAAGGTGCAATGTAAGGCTTGTCACCACCACATACCTGTACAGACAGAATTACAGTAGGAGAGATTACATGCCAGAAATAATTACCACTTGAAAGAAGTTCCCTGCTCATAGTTTTAACCAAACCACTTACATGATTTACTTTTAAATTTGTATGTAATACTTTGCAGATTAATATAACCTATTGTTTCTTACAGGTTTAAATGACTCAAGTAATTTTCCAAATATGAATAATACTACTAAAACTGAAGTAAAAAAACTTTACACTACACTTKATACCTGACTTCACCTGACCCACTAATACATCAGGTGGCTGACAAGAGTGGATAAAAGATTACATACTGACATAGAACAGCTTAGGGCAGAAGTTGCTACTAGCCTTAAGCCAATGTTAACTTCTATCACAGGCTATTAAGAACAGTGCTCTGAATCACAAGTCAGAAAACATTTTAGTAGAGGTTATGCAACACCTTACCACCTGAATTCTAATCATGTGAATTATTCTCTTAGTTTATTTCCAACATAGATTATAAAGGGGGATTGTGAAACAATATAACAATGTGTAAGAAACACTAATTGGCTCCATTATTTTAAATATAAAAGTCTCCTATCCCTCTAGTATCAAATTTAAATTTTAGTTACAAACCTGTTCCATGCTTTTGCAATAGAGATCTCTTGCTCCTGCTACAGCAGCAAGATTATTAGCTTCAGCTGTTGCCTAAAAAATAAAATTAAATGCACAATTATTGTTCAAAAAAATACCCTATGACTCTACAAAATCTGATTAACATAATAAATTATATACAGTGAACAAGTCTAAATTGAACCATAAAAAATATCAACTTAAAGTTTTCCTTTCCTTTAGGAGAGTATATCAGTAGTTTATGATATAGATTTTTAAAAGGATAGTTGCTTACGTTTATTTTGCTTAGATTCATACTTAAAGAGGTTTTCAGAAAGTACCATGTGTTATGAAATGGACAGATACAGATATAATCTTAAAATGCGCTAGATTTCCTTCCTTACATATAGTTCTTTCAGTTCTTTCATAATCAGATTCACACAAGACATTTTCAAACTATAAAACTGCTTACTACATTAATTTTACTAGAAAATACTATTTAATCCACTATAAAACTGAGAAGCTGCCCAAAGTAGTAAGTCTTAAAAAAACAGAATCTGAATTAAACAATACTAATTCATAATAAAAGAACATAATTTAAAGTGTGGGGGGAGCCTATTCACTACAAGCAGTTCTAAATCAATAGCAAATGAAAATAAGCTTTTTTGCAAACAACAATCTTTGTCAAAGACTCAAAGAACAGAAGTAGCTTAGTTCAGAAAGGCCCACATTAAACCATCTACAATAGAAATGTTCCTACACTAAGTATCTGAAGAGAAGGTATAAAGGGCTTTATTTCTATTGGCCTACACATGGCTCAAGGTCTGCAATCTGCAGTTACAAAAAAAATCATATAAAGACTTTAGAATTCATGACAYATACTGCCTTAAATATATAAAATGTATTTCCATGCAAAAAAGAACATTCCTCACATTGCCATTCCCAGAATTTCTCTTTAAAGCAAAGACTTTTGTTCTCATAAATAAGGATATATATAACCTCCTGCCCCTTCCCCCAATGCCTKATACATACACACACAGTGTCTTAATCTCTCTCTACCTGAAGCATGGACTTTGGATGTGGAAGTTCCTCTCCTTGATAAATTTTAATGTAAGCCTAAAAAGACATAAGATTCATATTGTAGGTTACACAATTTGATTTGACATCTCCAAAGAAAAATCATTAAATATAAAAATAATTTGCATCATTAAAAGGAAATATACTCTCATTTCAACAAGATTAATCACATTCTCAAAACTATTTATATACATGCAGCTAAATAACACCTAGAAGAAATGTTGCTACCTGTACTTTGAACATGTATACGTTGTATCTCATATTTAAGTTTTATACATAAAATGCCATCGCTTAATGAAAAAAAAAATCCATAATTCTCCCTGTCAATCTTTTTTTTTTTTTTTTTTGGTAGTGCTAGGGATTGAACCCATGGCCTTGTGCATGGAAGGCAAGCACTCTACCAACTGAGCTATATCCCCAGTCCTACTGTCAATTTTTCAAATAAAAATGTCAGAAAATATTTTAACCCAGTATTTGACTAACTTAAATTTTATCTCAGCTTAAGAAGAAAAAAAAACCTAATTTGTAATTTAATAAGAAAAAATGTTCTGATGTCCATACAGGTGTCTTTCATCTCAACTTTCTACTGACTCAATATTAATCTATAACTAAACAAATACAGTATGAAAATGATCAGGCATTCAATAAGTGAACAAGAATACATTCTTAGTTAACTATTCCTTTCCACCTACCTATAATGACCAATAATAATACGACCCTCTACAATGGTCTTGTCCTGGCAAGCAAACTATAAGAGCTAAAGAATAACTGAGGGAGAGGGAAAACCAATGAAAATTCATTTGAACTCAAAAATCATAATAGATACTTTCAGCTGCTCTTCTTGAGTCCTCAGAATTCTGARAGAATGCTTTTTTGAAGAATTCAGAATACAGAATTATGTTTCCAATCCCTATTATGACTCCCAAATGACAAAGCAGTATTTCAGTATAATAAATGGCTCTTCTCTCCATGTCAGACGGAGGAAAAGTAGAATAATTCTGTGAACAAACAAAATCATTTTCTAGAAGATACAAGTAGTCTGTTACAATCTCTTATTTAAATGTCGATACACCCAGAGGCCCAAATATGGGTTGTTTTTGTTGTTGTTTTAAAGTAAAGGTTAAGAAACTTCTTATATATACAGATGAGTACTAAGTTGGCTACATTTCTATCCTAGAKAGTCATTCAATTTAAGAGTTTGCCTACCTTAAAATACTCTACAAGATCTCTACAAGTGACTTTAGATCCACTTATCTCTTTTTCCACCAAATTTTCAGGGGCAAGCAGCAATGGAACCAGATTTTGAAGCTCTCGTTTAAAGTCTTCATCAATATCTGGTGAACATAAAATTAGTCAACATTTAGTCCAACAAAATAAAAAAAAATAAGTCCTCATTGATAAAAATTCTTAAAGTTCTATTTTATAACTTATAAGGTCTAGTTTATAACTTTGTAAGAGGACAAATAATCACTTAAATACAATCATTTTTTWAAAAAGTTCATCCAAAAATGCCATMTCTCTTAGGAAAAAAACAAAAATCCCCACTACCCCCATAATTCCCACACCCCCATAATTCTTTCAGTTCAAATTTGGACTACCAAAACAATATCTTCATCAAGTATTAAAACTAAAGCATCCTTTTCAAGAGGCAAACAATTTAAGAGATTAAATTAAATTTTAATACTATATTTTGTTTTTCTAACCATACTGTAACTTTTGTTAATTCTCAAGCCTTTTGCTATCACACTTAGATTAATTCTAAAACCACAAAAAATTATGCTATCAACTATGAAACAGAGAAATTTAAGTCTAATTGCAGCAATACAATAAAATGGTTAGAGCTTTTTAGCAGATAAAATATTAAAATGTTTTCAGCCTTCCAAATTCTCAAGACTTCAGTCCAGAGCAAAGGAACACATTATAAAATAGGTTGCAAACAAACTAATAGATGGTTGCAAACAAACCAATAAATGCTAGAAAGAACACTGAGAGCATTCTAAGCACATTAGTATTAATACATCATGATATCCTTTATCAATAAGACAGGAAATTTAAGGAATCATGTATTTGAAAAAACTTTCAGTCTCTAAAAATGTTTGATTTTAGCAAGAATGGGAATTCCCACCTTTCAATCTCCCATCAAAACTAGGATTAGTTGCAACTTTAAGACCAGGATGTGGCAAAAGGAAGCAACCCAGATTTGAGAAACAATTGTGAATGTGCTTCCTTACATTCTGTAACTCTTCATGTTGATTTTGTTTTACCTGAGGGCAGAAAGAGACAGGATAATGGTGCAAAGAGAAAAAAAAAATTAATGTTAAAAAAGGAAATTTACATGTATACTTGCATGTATATAYATTCAACTCAGATGGTTCTAAAGGCCCATTTCTGAACACTTTGATAAGACCTCACATTTTCTTAAAACCAGAAAAGATGTTTCTTCCTAAGTAAGCTGCCTGAGATACCAAAAAAATAAATAAATGAAATAATAATCAATTATAGTATCTAATGTCTGAATAACAAGTTGTGGCTGTGACTTATAAATAAGATTTACCTTTAAAGTATTTATAATGTCATAATAAAACAAAACAAAATGAAACAAACAAACAAAATACTCATATGCCTTCAAATAAAAGGGTTAGCACCTGATAAGAATAAGAGCCAGGTCAAAAAGCTCCAGTRTAGTCCCAACTACCTTAGAAATGGTATTTTAGGACTCTCTTTATGTGATTATCTTTAATTTATGCTAGTTATCAGAGCTTAGAAAAGAGATACTGAGATACTGATATTTATTTTCTGGAAGAAAATCTTAGAAATATTTTGAATAATTATTAACTCATTTAGAGATAGATAATTTACACACTCTTCAAAAGGTTCTTCTCAATGGCCATTGTAACAAAACATGTGCTATTCATAATTAAAACCTGGAAACCACCTAAATCTTCAGCAACAGAATGGAAAAACAGTTGTCTATTCGATTAGTGAAATTCTAAATAGCAATGAAAATAAATGAACTAAACTACATGCAACAACATGTTTTAGTCTCAGAAACAAAATATTGGGCAAAAAAGCTAAATACAAAAGAACATATGTGTAAGTGCTTGTATTCATAAAAAGTACAAAAACAAAGCCTGTTAAAAGGATAATGGTAAGGATTGGGTGGGGGTAAGTAAGTACCTGGAGGTGGTGCTTCTGGGTGTAGGTTATGGCTATATTCATTTTATTTTCTACAAAGTTACCAAGCTACACATTATGACCTGAGCAATCTTATGAACACATGCATGGCATCGATAAGAAGTTTAAAATCCTTCTTGCTTTGAGGTATCTAGTTCTATAGTCTGTTAATTTCTTATAAACAAACCAGAAAAAAAAAAAAAGCTGTGATAATTGCACTTATCTGAAGGTGCTGAAAATCCAAGAGTAAAGAATTGGTCTTAATCTCATTTTAGGAATAAGAAAATCATACTATTCCACCACAAGTCTTAGAATGTGATTGAGAAACCAAGTGCATCATTCCACAGACAATAAAATCTTATTAACCTACTGCATTAATAAAGGGATCTCTACACATAGAGATGTTATATATATTGGATATGTTAGTAGATRGTAATCTGTAATTATCTGACCTGCAGATTTCCTAAGTATTTTCACAGGAAGGTACTTTAAGGATAAAAGATGATGATCTTGTTGGTGAGGTTATTTTCCAGGAATGGCTTCATGTGGCATATCATAAAGGAGTGACAGTACTTGAATCCTATACCCAGTTATCAATAATTAGTTAAGTGACCATAAGCAAGTAACTTTTCCAGGCTCCAGTTTCACTGTGTATGTTATGGTTTAGATGTGGTATCCCCTGGAAGTTCACATGCAAGACAATGCAGAAAGGTTTGGAAGAGAAATGATTGGGTTAYATCCTAACCTAATCAGTGAATTAATCCCTAATGGGATTAACTRAAGTGGTAGGGTGTGTCTGGAGAGTAAAAGAATTGGGGCATGGCTATGGGGTATATATTTTATATTTGGAGAATAGAGTCTCTCTGTGCTTCTTGATCACCATGATGTGAGCAGCTTCCCTCCACCACACTCTCCAGCCATGATGTTCAGTATCACCTCAAGCCAAGGAATAAGAGAACCAGCCTTCTCTGGACTAAGACCTCTGAAACCAGGAGCCCACAAATAAACTCTTCCTTCTCTACAATTGTTCTGATCAGGTCCTTTAGTCACATGTAGCAAAAAAGCTGACTAAAACAATGTACAAGAAAAAAAGGCTGACAAACTATGAAACTAGCCTAGGAATCCATCAAWGGATGAATGGATAAAGAAAATGTGGTATATATACACAATGACATTTTATTCAGCCATAAAGAATGGAATGATGTCATTTGCACTGAAAAAAAATGGATCAAACTTGAGAATATTACATTAAGCAAAATAAGCCAAACTTAGAAGGGTTGTTTGTTTTCTCTCATCTGTGGAAGCTAGAAAGGAAAAAGAAAAAAAGAAGGTATTGAACATGTGTCTCATGAAAACTGAAGGGAAATCAGTAGAGCAAAGAAAAGGGACCAAAGAAAGAAAGGAGAAGAGGAAAAGAAGAAGTACTAGAGAATTTGTGTGCATGCACAAATATGTAACAGCAAATCCTACCATTGTGAATAATTATAACTCTCCAATAAAAAATATGAAGGAGGGGCTGGGGTTGTGGCTCAGTGGTAGCGCACTCACCTAGCACATGCAAGGCCCTGGGTTCGATCCTCAGCACCACATAAAAACAAATAAATAAAATAAAGGTATTGTGTCCAACTATAACTTAAAAATATGAAGAAAAAAAAGGATGAACTAGATATGTTCAGGGTTAGGGTTAAGGTTAGGGATATGTTTAAAATCCCTTTTCTAGCTCTATATGTTGTCACTCTATCAGAGATATGAGAGGTTCTCATATCATCTATGTTCAATACGTAAACATTAACCAGCCTGTCCTAAACGTTGAGAAGCTGAGCTGACCAAAAAGAGACTTGTGAATATTCTAAGTGGACCAAAATCTCCTTAAAAAATATTGATCCTCAGGAGGCTAAGGTAAGAAGATACCAAAATTCTTGAGGCCAGCCTGGGCAATTTAGTGAGATCCTGTCTCAAAAAAAAATCAAAATAAGGCTCGAAAAATACCTTAGTAATAGAGCACTTGCCAGGCATGCTAGGGGTGGAATCCCCAGAATGAATGAAAGGAAGGAAGGGATGGAAGAAATGGGGTAAGGGGTAGGAGGAAGGAGGAGAAGGGAGAGGGAGGGGAAGGAAGGAGAGGAAGGAGGAAGGAAAGGGAAAGGAAGAGAAAGGAAGGCGGGGAAGGAGGGAAGGTGGGAAGGTTGATCCTTTGAATATTTACTGAGGGACAGTTTGTTCAGGAGAGAAAACACATGTAACCACTTATGTAGAGTTAGTAACTGACAGTGTAAGCACAGTCCAGGCAGCCCAGCCTTTTGCCTGSTGTGGTGCTTATGCTCTCCTCTCCAGGACACAGGGCTTACCTGCAATCTCTTTTCAAGGAATTGTATTCCACCTTCCAAACCATATGAATGTTCATAAGGATAACTCCAATCTCGAATCAAAAACATTAATGTCTACACACAGAAAAAATACAAAACACTTCTTATAAAATCTTAAGAAAAAAAACATAACTTTAATAGTTAACACCTCCTTTCTCCCTTAAACAATTCTTACTAAAAGTGAGTACATGGCTATTATTAAAGGCTCACCTAAACCAACAACATACTCAACCCCCATACCAAGTAATCACCTCCACTTGAATTTCACTACATATAAGGAAAAAAGTCACCCAAGCAATAATATGATTTTAAAAAGGAACAAAAGGCAGAGCAGGGCATTAGATCATAATTTTAAATCAAGGTTGTATAATTACAAGACCAACCAAATCAAGATGGCTAATTCTACACGAATTATAGATTTGGTGTCAATAGCACTAATTTCACAGAATGATTTTTAATTCATACACTTAAGTTTCTCCACCTCAGCACTACTGACATTTTGGGCCAAATGATCTTTAATTRTGCATGGCTGTCCTGTGCATTACAGGATATTAATATCTCTGGCTTTTATGCACTACACACCAGTAGCATTAACCTCCCCAAAACTGTGACAACAAAAAATGTCTCCAGACATGGGCAAATGTCTACTGGGTGGCAAAATTACCCTAGTTCAGAAAAACTCACAGATAATATATTTATTCATATACATAAAAGGAAGCCATAAACCTGCCCAATCATTTCATAAAAGTGATTGCTTTAACCAGAACAGCAGACAAGAATGAGACACAATTGATGTAAACCCACTAATAATCACTAGCAATGCTATCAGAGGAAGGACTTCACACACTGATGGGCAATCAATCTAGATTTCTTTSTTCTATTTCCTATTCTCCCCCACCCTAACTGCAACTAACCAAATAGTACTAATRGCAACCTGCAAATTGTACTTGCTTCAAAAAATAAAGTAGCTGGGTGTGGTGGCACACGCTTATATTCCTAGCAGCTTGGGAGGCTGAGGCAGGAAGATCACAAGTTCAAAGCCAGCCTCAACAAAAGCAAGGTGCTAAACAACTCAGGGAGACCCTGTCTCTAAATAAAATACAAGATAGGGCTGAGAATCTGGCTCAGTAGCTAAGTACCCCTGAGTTCAATCCCCAGTACCACAAAAAAAAAAAAAAAAAAAACTACCTGGAACTTTTTCATATTAAACCAAAATAAAGAGTAACAGGACTAACTTCGACTTATAACATACCACAAAAAAGAAACTGACCCTTATTTTTGGAAAGAAAAGTTACATTACTCATGGTTATATTAAGGGCCCACTATTATTATATAATAAGGTTCTTTTCCCCTCAAAGTTTAATGTCATGATAATTTTAGAGAGAAAAATAAAAAATAAAGGTTGTTTATATACCATTTTTCCAAGCTGGTTAATGTGAGGGAGTCATTTTAAGAGAATTTCACTTTTTACTCTACATAATACCATATTGTTTGAATTGCTAAAATAAATGTGTATATCTTTGCAAAATAAAATTAAGTTAAAAATAGACCTACAACATTTTCTAGTAGTGTATCACATATAAAAGAAATGTGATATGACTGTCTTATTCAATTTCTCACTGTCTTAAGTTTTGGAATTAAGTAACATCTAAAAGAACCATTACCCCCTTAATCAAACTAGATTTGTTTGTTCTGTTTCCTATTTTGTTGGCCTCAAACTGGTATTAAGTTGGTGACRACATCACCAATATTTAGATTCAACTCCACTTAATTGATTGCTACAAATGAGTTTGTCATAATACCCTGTATCTCCAAAGTTAAAAGCTGAGGTGAGCTTCTCATAAGTCTATCTTATAAAATGATAAAACACTTACTTACCTGAAATGGTTTCTGATAGATTTCTTCCATTGCAAGTCTTCCATACTCTGTAAATAACTATAAAATCAAGTTATTTAAACTAATGTCCCCAGGGAAATTGACAGAGACTTTTATAAAAYTGTTCTATATCAGAGGACAAGCTATCAGAACTTTTAATATCATCTGAAAGCTAAGTATTTAATTTTCTAACACACAGGGTATATATTGAAATGACAGGCCTGGCATAGTGGTGCACACCTATAATCCCAGTGACTCAAGAAGCTGAGGCAGGAGGATCACAAGTTCAAAGCCAACCTCAGCAAAATCAAGGCACTAAGCATCTCAGTGAGACACTATTTCTAAATAAAATGCAAAATAGGACTGGGGATGTGGCTTAGTGGTTGAGTGACCCTTACTAAAAGAAAAAAAATGAAATCACAGGTCAGTTTTAAACCATATAATATTCAACTTTGTTATTACATCATAGGCTTCTAAGTATAAATTCACAATAACATGACAATTCAATTTTAAAACTTTAGCATATATTCTAAGACATACATACTTGTAAGTGTTGAAGATCATCTTCTTGAATATTCTGAGATAAATTATATACCTATTAAAACAAAATTCATTGTTTTTATTAGTGTCTTACTTTGAATACACAGCTTGTGTATAATTTTCCTTGTGAAAATTAAGACTATTTTATGCTTTACCACAAAATAATCACTCAGCCACTATCTTAATCAGTGGCATACAAAAAGGACTTTCTCTTTTTTCATAATAGTCAAGTGATAAAATATTAAGGAGGAAGGAGTGGTGGTAAAATATGTGAAAATCACGAATAAATGCATATTCACTGCCTAAATTTGGCAGATACTTGAAAAAAAAAAAAAGTGTACTGCAATAGCCAAACTATGGAACCAACCTAGATGCCCTTCAAAAGATGAAGGGATAAAGAAAATGAGGTATGCAAACACAATGGAATATTACTCAGCCTTAAAGAAGAATGAAATTATGGCATTTGTCAGTAAATGGTTGAAGCTAGAGAATATCATGCTAAGTGAAATAAGCAAGTCCCCAAAAACCAAAGGCCAAATGTTTTCTCTGATATGTTGATGCTAATTCACAATAAGGGGGGTGGCTAGGGAAAAACAGAGGTACTTTACATTAGGCAAAGGAGAATAAAGGGAGGAGAGGGGGTATTGGAGGAGGAGGTACAGTAGAATGAATCAGACATTATTACCCCATGTACATATATGATTGCATGACTGGTGTGATCTTACATCATGTACAACCAGAAGAATGAGAAGTTATACTCCATTTATGTATGATGTGTCAAAATGCATTCTASTATCACATGTAATTAGAACAAAATTTTAAAAAGTAAAACAAAAATTAAAAATTATATTGTATAATAGGTTCTTTTTCTCCTCAAAGTTTCATGTCATGATAAGAAAGAAAACTAAAAAGTAAAGGTTGTTTATATACCACTTTTTCAAGCTGGTTAATGTGAGGGGCAAAAGTATATAACTGATCAGTGGGAATCTCATCTAACATTGACTCTACTATAGTTCTCTTTTTACTTAAAACTCATCAGTCTAAACAATTTTAACAGAAAAATTTTAGCAGCCTCTGGAAACTAATAAAAGTAACAGTAGGTGGCACTCTTATCCTGTCCAGAATTTTCTGAAGACTTCCAAAGACAAAAYGGACCAGAGCTATAATAGAGGCTCTAAAGTACAAACTCAGGAAAAGAGAAATTGGAGAAAAGATTAGTTAGGTTCAGTCCTTTCAAGACCTTCAGAAGAGAACTCGGGCTATAATTGGAGAAGAATGGGCACCTACTGTTAAGAAATAACTTGTATCTAAGAAAATAAGGGTACTCCAAAGGGAGAAATACAGATAACTTGGAGGTCAAGAATATACTTGATGTTCAGCAAACCTAAAATGATAGTCTCAAGTCATAATTAATWCTAAAGAGTATTTTTAAAAGTAATTAATGACTGAGGTAATTAAACTTCAGATTTAAAGTAAAACCTGACAGTATGACTAATCTATTCTTATCCATCCAGTGGACCTTAGCTTTTAGAAAACAGGTCCAGATCTTTTCATTGTCAGGGCCAGGCAAATAGTAAAGAGAGAAAGAGACTTGTTTATCTTAGATCATTAGTACTTAGAATACTACCCTGGATATAATAGGTGCTAATAACCCTGGATATAATAGGTGCTAACAATTTGTTGAAAGAATAAATGACAAGGTCAATTTGTTACTGATTTATCAGCTAGAACTTATTTAAGGAAAGAAAACTAACCTCCAAGGTCAGGAAGAAAGCAATAATAGATATCTAATCTTCTTGGWTTTTTTAGAGTCTACAAAGCACTTTATGCATTATCTTATTTAGATCTCTTCTTTAACAACAGTCACACATGAGGTAGGCAAAATGGGTAAAACCCTCATTTTGCAGATAAGAAAGTGCCTATATAKTTTTTAAGTTACTGTCCAAAGACAGTTCTTTAAAAAGTTGAATAGGGCTGAGGATGTGGCTCAAGCATTAGCACGCTCTCGCCTGGCATGCGTGCGGCCCAGGTTCGATCCTCAGCACCACATACAAACAAAGATGTTATGTCCGCCGAGAACTGGAAAATAAATATTAAAAAATTCTCTCTCTTTCTCTATCTCTCTTTTTAAAAAAAAGTTGAATAAACAAGAGAACCCCAAGTTTGAACCCCAATAATAAATATTAAGACACAGAACTCCCTCATTATAATTTAAGGCAAGGTCTACTGCCAGCTTAYTTGAGGGGCTACACTATGATAAGGCAAATATGAAGAGATGGCTTCTATACTATCGCAACTGTGCCATTTTGCAAAAGCAGAGAAAAAAAAAATAAGAAGGGAAAAAGAGATTTCTGAGAGTCCCGGATAGTATCACTTAGTGAGTAGTAGCCATTATCCTCAGCCCTGTAAGGCTGAAAGCCTAGATTCTACAAAAAATTCAAAGGAACTGGTTTCTGGTATATTGCTTCCTTTGTAACTATCCAAAATACAAAATTTCWCATTATAAGCCAGAACAGTAGGCATGGAAATAAGAAATGTCAATAAGAAATGTCAATGTGCTCTTTAATTTTAATCATATTAAAATTTTTCTTCAATCAAAAGGCATTTTTGAGGAGCAGCTGAAGGTACCAGGATCATATGAACTGATGTCATCACCTAATCCCTATCTTACCTGCACAGAGCTGGTCATAGTGCTCAGAGCAAATACGGTTGCACAGTCTTTAATAGTTGACTGGCTATCAAAGGCACCCTGGGTATCCATTAGCAGCACAGCCACCTAGGAATTCAAAAGTTTATCATACTYAGTAAACAGTCACAAAAAACAAATATAAAAATCATATATTAAATGGTAAATTTCAAAAGCAATAATTAAATCAAGAACACTCATCTCTACACATTTTAGCATAATAATCTTTATACATTAAACTTGCCACACATTAAGTTCTGTGTTGCTTTGAATTTTTTTTTTTTTTTTGGAGGGGGGGGGTTGCTGGGGATTGAAATCAGAGCTTTGTGCATGCAAGGCAAGCACTCTACCAAATGAGTTATATCCCCAGCCTGTTCCTTTGATTTTTAACATAGAAAGTAGCTCAAGAAAAAATATAGAAGATTAAAAATAGAAAAGTATAAGTGAAATTTTACTTTTGTTCCATTAGGTCTGTCAATCACAAATACTTCATTCCAAACTTGTATGCCTGTTGTTTCTCTTTCACAACCACCTCGCCATGTAAAGCCGGTCAATGGTTCATTGTTTCCACCAATCCAACTTTGAGAATCCTGTTAAAGTCAAAGATAAATGTAAAATAAAACACACAAAAATCAAAAGAAAAAAAAAACTTTAAAAATCACCCATTCCATATTTTACAGATGAGGAAGGTTAAGTTCAAAGATAAAATACACTATGTAACATCATCCAAGTAGTTACAAAAGCAGTCCTAAATTCTATGTGGTTTTCTATAGGGATGCAGTTTCCTTCAAACCTGAACCTTCTCAAGTCAGTTCAAATTTCCACTCTGTGGGCTTTTAGGTGAGTGGGGTCACACCCATTTTTCCCTCTTCAGCAAAGATTTCCTATAATGTTTAAAACAAAAATCAGACACCAGCTATATCTTCTTATACAGAAAAGTAAAACTAAGTTTCAGAAAGAATGACTGTCAAAAAAGAGTATCACTCTCTTAAAAGAGCTTATATTAAATGTTTTTTATGATGCCTGGTTACCTTTAAAACATAATCAACTTTAAAAATGACCAAATCTTAGGCTGGGGATACAGCTCAGCTGGTAGAGTGCTTGCCTTGCATGCATAAGGCCCTGGATTCAATCCCCAGCACCACCACCAACAAACAAACAAACAAACCAAGTCTTGTTTGCAACCTGATTCAAATGATCCAAGTATAGAAAAGCCTTACTTGAATGAACAGAATCTGAACCYAGACTGCATTATCAGTTGGGATAAATATGATTGTCTGATATGAATGACGTCATGATTGCATTAAGAAATAGCTAAAAGAATACTTGTATGTTAGATACTCAAGTATTTGTGGTAAAGGGATATGCCTGGCATTTAATATTTCAAAAGGCACATATACACATACAGAAAACAGATGAAAGAAGACCAGCAAAATGTTGATGTATATAATGCTGGCATTCATAATGCTATCCTCTTTATTTTGGGGTATATTTTTAAATTTTCTATAATATAATGTTTTAATTAAAACTATAGGCTGTACTACTATAATTAAATATGATGGGGCTGGAGGTATAGCTCACWAGTAGAGTGTTCACCTAATATGTACAGGCACTGGATTCAATCCCCAGCACCATAAATAAATAAGAAATAATATAACAGTTAATAAATCATAAGGTAGTTTATCTAGAAAATTAAATGTGGGACATAAATGAATACCTTTGACAGATGTCAAGATGACTATTTTAGTATACTTAAAAGTCCGTTACTCAACATATCTCCAAGGAAAAATTTGGTTTCAGAAATACTTCTGGTAAGCTTGAATATCTAACCCAAAATAGATTATAAAGTTCAAATTACTGGTAGGAAGATTATGTTTTAAAGCAGGATTGATGAAGGATGAAACAATTTAGGAAGAGCATGTATAAAGTGGCAAAAATAAGTCATCCAGACTATAATGTAATATGACGATACAGCCTTAAATTTTAAACAATCTATAATCATCATTTCACAAAACTCTCATCTCGAGTAGGTTACCAGTCTTATAAGTCATAAAATTCTCTATTTGTTTTCTTCAGGTTTCAATAACTTCAACTAAAGGCCCTCACCTCTGCTGGTTACAGACTGCCACATGGTACAACTCCATTCATAGTACATACAATAGAACCATATTTCAAAGTACCCTTCCTGAGGATAGACGACCACAACTGGTAGTCCTGCCCCTGGCCTATATTTTAGATGCTCCAAATTGTTCTTGTACCTCCTTGCTGTACTCTACCCCAATTCTTGTCACAGCTAATTTTCACAAGAAATGTAATCATGTCATTGTCTTTCTAAAACTCCACCTATGGCTTCCCCATTACCTATAAGACCATCCATCCAGAGACCTGTTTCATAACAATGCCCCTTTAATCTATTTTTTCTCTCTCTGTTTCTGATATTTCCAACTAGTACTTACATATCCAGTTTCTACCATATCCCTCCACCAAAAAAAAGAAGAAAAAAAAAATCACCATTTCCCAAATGCATACACTGTTCAGCCATCAACACCTTTCTCTGCCTAGACTCAGATTTTTTGTCATGGTGGGGGAAGCAGATGCCACATGTGAGAACCTACTCATTCTCTCGCAATGTCAAAGAAATCTGGTATTGAATGAACCATTTTTAAAAGGTGTAACCTACACAAATAAGTTAAAAGACACTATCCTCTTAGAGAAGTCTACTTTTAGTCATCTTATTTATCTTGCTTCTCTATCTTCTCTAACAAAACTACTTCTCTAAACAAAATTACTTTCCATGACAGCAGTTTTATTTCATTCTCATGAATTCCCAGCATGTCAAATAGTGCCTGGTTTGTAGTTAGGTATTCAAAACATTAAAGTTTTGTGCTCCCTTTTGAGCATGGGTAATAGATGCAGAAGAAATATGAGCTTCTTTATTATTCTAGAAACAATATAATTATGTAGACAAAGCAGTAAAAATAAAATTTTTGAACTATGGATGACTAAAGTCATAGGCTAATGTGCTTATTAACCCCCCTTCAAAAAAATTTTAAAAATTAGTGTCTCATAAAAATCTACTATGTATCATTGCTTCTTAGTAAATGGGAATATTGTAAAATGTTCAATGGATTAGTTAATAAAAAGATAAAAGAAAAGGTAAATCAGAAAACCAAGTTAATCAGATTTTCAAAATTTKGAAATCTGTTATTTCTCTAACATACTGAACATTAAAGCTTTCATAAAATACATTCATTCATTCATCCATTCATTCACTCATTCAACAAATCTACTGAACCTCTACCAATTGCCAGTCACTGTTCTAGATTCTAGAGATAGAGCAATGAACAACAAAATTTTTCCTCTCCAAGAACATTTTAGTAGGTTCTAGAGACAGTCTCAATGATTATGTCTCAAAAGTTACAGACCCCATGTGCTCTCAAAAAGCAAACCTTGGAACTTGAAAAACACTAATCTGATTCCATTCGCTACTACAGAGAAAAAAAAAAAAAAAACCTCAAAACTCACAGATTTCCAAAAGCTACCTTATTCTTCCAATTTAAAATAGTAGGAAAAGAGGAGATCTTATAGAATAACTCTCAATTGCAAAAGGCAATCTGAAGTCATCTGAACTTCAAATGTAGTCAAATAGTGGAATAAACACAGCACATGCCAAAAAAGAYTTGTCTTTGTAACTTACCAGCAATAAATAAACTCTAAATAGTAAAAAACAAATTCATATTTCACCAAAGGAACAGTAATTGTCTGTAGTAACAAAATGAAACAACAGCTATATAAGCTTTAGACCCAGAGTTTGGTAGCCCAGACAAGCCCACAAGCATCAGAACACACCAGTTTCCCATTTGCTGACTCCTTCCACAACAGCCAGGCTAAAAAAATAAAAGTCCATCCAGAAGCCATAACAACTCAGCTTGGATTGGAGTAAAAGACAAAAAAGTATAAAACTAAGACCCAATTAGCATTACAATAAAGAAGGAGATCATCSCTAGTTAAAAGCCCCACAAATGAAAATCCTAACCTGTATAAAATAAGTACCTATTCAGGAGACAGGTTATTATCACTCAATACCCAAACTGGTGGAGAGAACTAGTATATACATTCTAACCATTGATTGTAGCTTAGTATTTTCAGTTGAATGTGAGAAAACTCAAGTCCCAGAAAAAAAAAAAATATGGAACATTAATTCTGAAATAATTAAAATGTGTCTAATTTTACTGATCCCATCCCTGCCTCATGTCCAACTCCTCTTTCCGGGGCCTGACAAATAGTTGGCATTACAACTGACCTGGGTCACAAAGTCAAGCAAAGAACATTTCTAAGAACGTACAGATTTGCTAAGGAGAAATTTAATAATTTAAGTTTTGCTTAAATGCATCTTTGACCATGAAGACATTATGCTAAGTGAAATAAATCAGACACAAAAAGAAATGTATGTTTTTCAGTCATATGAGTTGCTTAGAGTAGTCAAGCATGCAGACAGAAAGTAGAAGGGTGATTGCCAGGGGCTGAGAGGAGAGGAAAATGGATTTAGCATTTAAATAGTAACACAGCTTTAGTTTKTGAAAATAAAGTCCTCAAGATGAAAGGTGATTGGTGATAGCTGTACCAATTAATAAATAAATTTAATGCCTTTGAACTGTACACTTATAAATGGCTAATGTGGTGAATTTTTGTTTTGCCTATCTTACCACAAATTAAAAACAAAAAGGTGGCCTTGAGAGGTACCAAAACAGAAAGGGGAGACACCACCAGTTATTAAACTGCTATCTAGCCAACTCCAACACCCTCTAACAAGCCTACAATTTTTATTTTCCTTATGGACTTAAAATTCTGATCAAATTCTGTGTTTCTCACATTGGTAAAAATGATAGAAAATTCAAAATTTCAGATTATCACATAAGAGTTACAATGCTTCACTTAAAACAAGTGAAATATTCCAAAGYAAATTCAATTAAAATGGTTAAATGAATAAGCTAAACCTCTAGATTAAATCTGGAAGATAGTTCAATGAACTAATGAACCAGTATAAAGTRCAATGATGCTTTAAAATAAACAAAATCCACACCTATCAGAATGGCTAAAATTTAAAAGATGACATTTACAAGGAATACAACAAATATAAGTCTCCTATATTGCCTAGTGCAATTGGTGAAACCTCTTTGCAAAAATATTTGGCAGCCATTAGTAGAGCTAAAAAGGTATTTTGTCATATGACCCAAATTTCTACTCCTAGATATAAACCTAACAGAATTGTGTATATTCCCAAGGCTTGTATAAGAATATTCACAACAATTTTATTTAGAAGAAACAAAAACTGGAAACAACTTACATGTATATCAATAGAGGATGAGGTAATTAAATTGTGATATATTCCTCCAATGAAATATCACTTAGCAACAAAAAGACATTTCTGATGCATTTAACAACACAGATAAATCTCTTAGACTTAATGTTAAATAAAAGAAATCAGACACAAAATATATATACTTTTACAATTCATGTCACTTCCAAAATAGACAAAAATAATCTAAGGTAATAAAAGTCAGCATAGTGGCCTTTGAGAGCCGGAATAGTAATAACTGGGAGGAGAAATAAGTGAGTCTTTTAAAATGCAGAAAGTGTTCTGTCTTGATTTGAAGTGGTGGTTAAAAAACATACTTATTTAAAAATTAACTGGCTATACTAAGGTTTATGCATTTATTGCATTTAAGTTATAACACAATAAAAAAATAAAATGACCAAGAAGAGGCTTTTTAAGATATTTTCTTCCTCCAAGTACATTTCTTTCTTGGAAAAAGAACATGAAACAAAACAAGTTTTTCATCATGTATTCACACATTTCCCATAAGTCTTACAACTCAGACACTGTTAGCCTTGGAGAGGAAAGTGAAATTAAATTCAACATCCATAGGGCTGATTCATACATGTTTCAGGTGAGTTATATGTATTGCATATGATGCTTAAATATAGTTTTTATTCCTGCTCTCTGGCAGCATTCTAGAAGCAAGTCCTTAAATAGTAAAGAATAAAAACTACATAAAGGACAGTTTCTTTAAAATACCTTCTGTAAATATGCTATGGATAAGTCAAAACTCTTATGTACCAAACAAAGCAAAGATCCTTCATTCATTTTGCTTGGAAACTAGTGGAAGGCAAGAAACGTTACTACATTTGCACTAGCACATGTTCTTCTGTCAAGTCTATTTCACCTTCTGAAGTAAACAGTGAAAAGCAAACATTTATAAAAGAGCAAGGAATATAGTGTRGGAACATCCTATATGGAACCTCTACATACTGGAAATATGTGGGGAAATAATGAAATTGGCCTTGCCACTTAGTTTGAACCTCATTTCTTAAACTAAGCAAGTTGAAAATACTAATATTACTATGTAGAATTATTATGAATACTCAGTAAAATAATACCTGTTAAGTGCTTAATAATCACAGTACCTAGAATTCAATGAATACTCAAATACTGTTATATGAAAAGATACTGAGGAAGAATATATCTTCATCTACTGAAATCTTCTTGCCGAAAATGAATAAAAYCTGATTCTGATCAAGTCTATAGAATCAACACCAACGGGATAAAATTAGCAAATCCAGAAATGTGCAGCTCTATAACACAATTGGTCTTTTCAACAAATAACTTGCCAAGAAAAATAGAAACAGGGCTTAAAACAATTTAAAAACATCAAGTCATAATGTAGATCTCATCTGGTTGGATTCAAACTGTTAAAACATAAAAATCATCTGTAGCAAGTAAAGGTTGTAAACATTTCACAATATTCAAAAATTATTACTACTTTTCTGTATGATGACATTATTATAATGTCCTTTTCTTTAAGAGATACTGAAATATCTACAAATGAAATTAAATGCTTGGGATTTACTTCAAAACAACACATTCAGGTATGGAGTCAGCTGGACTACAGATGAAATGAGATTGATAAGAGTTCATGATTTCTAAAAATAAGAATGTGGGCATTCATTATATGATTGTCTAATCTGACATGTGTTTAAAATTCTTTTCTCTTTTAAGGAAACTTTTTTTTTTTTGAGAGAGAGAGAGAGAGAGAGAGAATTTTTAATATTTATTTTTTAGTTTTTGGCGGACACAACATCTTTGTTTGTATGTGGTGCTAAGGATCGAACCCGGGCTACACGCATGCCAGGCGAGCACGCTACCGCTTGAGCCACATCCCCAGCCCTAAAATTCTTTATAATAGTTTTTAAAAGAAAAAATAAGAAATGATATAAAGTAGAAGCAACTCTGCATAGAATTAAAATCACTAGATAAGTTCAACAACAGCTATCATTTACAGTGTCAATATATTAAGCACGGTGTTAAGTATCACATACATTACATAATTTAATTCAATACATGAATTTTTGATTTCTATAAACTGATTCCAGGAATTGAAAGTACTTTTATGGTAGCCATGTGACAAGTTGATCAGCTTTTTTCTAACAATTCCTATTGATACTAGAGTAATCTATTTCACTTTGAAAACGTGTCACAAAAATCAGCTAACTAAAAATAATTAGATCGTCAACAGATTAATGGTTAMATAAAGCACAATATAATCAAACAGAATATTAAAGCAACAAAAATAATGAACTGTGAGATGTGTACATTTTACAGTAAGAACTGTAACAAAATAAGCCATATATAGAATATCTACAGCATGATTTTATTCATGAGAAGTTCAAAACTGGGAAAAAAGAATTTATGATAAGAGGTTCAGAATAATAGTTACTTGAGGGGATAAAAATTAACTGAGTGAGAGAACAAAGAGGGATGCTCTATATCTTCATCTGGGTGGTGGGAATATGAATATCAAGTAGTAGCTCAAAAAGAAACCATAAAAAAAGCTATTAACTTCACAAGAAAATGAGACCTAAAAATCAGAATTTCCCCTATATTTAGAGATTTAMGATAGAAATCTCAAAATAATCTTAGATTTTAAAAGCTTGCTACTGAAGTTTTTGCTTTTTTCTAACAAAAAGCTCACATTCAGCCTTATGTTAGTATTCCTCTTCTAATTACTCAAAATAAAAATACTCATCTATTTCTAAACTATAAAGTAAAAGGTTTACACATTTAGTCCTTTAGTGAACACACACTTACATAAACTGACTCATGTCAGTAGAAAAGACACTAAAAGATGATAAAAACTGCTGTTCTTCTACTTCTCTCAGCTAGCATATCATCTTTGCAGGTGTATAGGTTGAGGAAAAGTATTCAAATCTATCCCATTAGTTTTCCTTCTTTACTTACATCTCATGGGAAAAGAATGATTAACCACCAAATCAGTATGTGATCCCCCAAATCAGACACTATGTAATATAATTTCTGATTAACAGAATAAGGTGACTTATATCAGGAATTCTATATGAAAACTCTATAAGTTAAAATGCATAAAGATAATTTCACCACAGAAGCCAGTAACGAGGTATATAACCTTACTGAGGTCATCAGAACCTTTACAYGGCTTCAGTGCCTCCTCCAGAAAGGGGGAGTTCTGTTAGTTCCACGATTGTGAATATATGACAAATGTAGGCTGCTACTCCTCCTCTAACAGTCACTAATTTGACCAGAGATGGAATCAGAAATGCTACCTGAGGTGAAACTTATCTGTCATTCCTAGACAAGCAATCTAAGCTTCTTTCCCCTTCTAACATTCTACTTACTATCTGTGACCTACTTGGAATCAAATACATTTACAGTGCACAGCTCAGAAACAGATAAATATGAAATACACAAGAAGTTAAGGAGTTAAAAAACATCAAAATTCTTTTATATCTTCCAAATTATAGATTTTTTAAAAAATATGCCACTATTTATACATTTTCTATTTCAGATATTAAGCTCCAGAAAATATGTCTAAATGAAAAATCATTAACATTCCATTCCTAATTTCCTAAACACATAAAATGTCATTCATTAATATGAACTACCTTCTTGATACCCAGGCATACCTGAAAAGGTCTAAAGAGATACCTTTAAAAAGAATTTAGTAAAAAGCTTMTTGGGAAACCAACTGGGAAAGTTTACCTTATTTCAAGGCAAACTCAGATTTACACAGAACTTAAAGAGATGAACACTCAGATAATTACATAATTCTGTTAAAAGTTTTATTTCTAGTGGCTTATGTCAAAAATTCCTGTAAAGCCATCTGCCCTAAGTGCTCCACTCCAAAATTTTCAAATCCTTCTTCTTGGTCCCTATCAAACTTAATCCMTCCCACTTGACTCCAGCTTTTAGAAAAACACTAAGTCAAGTGGTTTTTATTTTTTGTTTTGTGTTTGACTTTGAAAGTCAAAGTCAGGGAGAACATAGTAAATATCTAAAAGCAAAAGTGTGTAGAGGGAGGGAGATTCATCCGTCAAAAAGACATCAACAACACACAGTAGCACTAAGTACTGGAGACAGGATAATCAATGTAAGTCCMACCACTAACAAAAAGGTAAACCAGCCAGAAAACTAAAGTAATATTAATAAAACGTGCCATGAGAGCTGGGAAGAGAATTAACAAACTCAGACATCAAGAAAGGCCTACTATGAAAAGATTAGCAAAGAATAGGATATTTGAGAATAATATGACCTACTAGGAGAAGAGCAAACACTACAGCATACTTGATGTAAGGATGCAAGCAGTAAGGCTCAGATACCATGGAAGGCCATAGAAGCTACTCTAAGGAATTGGACTTTATTCACTAAAAGTGACTTATTTGAGAAACATAAGTATACTTTTGCAAAGGTCTCTATCAGAAAACTTCACTAACAGTAAAAGTATCTAGGAAGATGAAAGTGAAGAAATAATAAAAAGGGAGACAAGATAAGTAGTACTTCCAATATTTTCAGGATGCACTCAAACATGTTGGACTAGTACTACACTGCCTAGAATATAGAGGTTCAAGCATATGCATCAATATGTATTATGTCCCAAAAGGAACAACAGAGATAAAGAAGAATCAAGAGCTCAAACTTATATTACTGTCTTAATAGAGAAGTGTAATTAAAGAACTATATTTCTGTAAAATTTAAGAAACAACACAATACTTGTTTTATATGTATATATATATTTTTTTCAATAACTGGTTGGCAGTTATTTGTTTTGATAAGGTTCAACTTAAAAGACACTATTCACCTTGTTATACATATATCTAAGCATGAAGTCCAGCAGAAATGATTTCCCTTTACGAAAAGCTCCTGCCACAGATACCACAACTATGTTAAGATCTCGTATGTGCTCCTGTAGCAGTATCTGCTCCAAAGCTTCTTCATCAAGCTCAAAGTTATGGTCATCTTCATGAGCAAGGACAATCTGTACTGGACATGGTTTCTTCATAACCTCATCAGAGTTTACTAGGTCATCATCTTCATAATCCTCCCCTAGAATTTTAAAAAGAAAGAAACAAATTACTTTAATCCCTGTATTACAAAACTTTTCATTAAGAACCACATCTACAGCCAAAGTTCAAATGCACCCCCCACCACCCGTTCTCATCTGAGAATAATTTAATAAAGAGACAGTCAAGTACTTTTGGACTTCCCGCTCCTTCTGTAATAGGACAAAGAATGCTGGTCACATTTACCCCTTGAGCACTGCATCCTTCTGTAAAGGCTTTTTGCTACTGTATGCACCAAGAAAATACAAACTGACAGGGAATAGAATCAATTTTTCCTGATACTTCAGATTCCAATTTTCCCTGGAAAATTATTCCACATTACAAAGACTAAAACATATATATGAATTTTGAATGTTGGAATTTTGAATATATGAATTCATTCTGGAATTGAAAGGGCAAAGTTAAGGTTCTAAGAAGCTTCCAAAAATGCCACCATAAAGCTAAGTCCCTAATTTTGTAAGAGTAATCTAATATGGCTGAGTATGATATAGCTCAGTGGTAAAACACTTGCCTAGCATTCATGAGGCTCTGGGCTCAACCCCCAATACAAAAAAAAAAAAAGTAACCTAGTAGTATAGCCATTATTAAATTCTTTATAAAGGAAGTCAACAACACTATTTCAAAATGTGCCACAAACAGCAACAATGCATTATAGAGAGAAAGAAACTTGAGAAGCAAAATTTTGAAAGAAATCAATATTTAATTAAAGAAGATATTATCACTGTTTCATTGTCATACCACTATAGCCAGACATGTTATTTAAATGCACAAAAAGTTGGGGTTGGGGAGGTGGCTCAGTGGTAGAGTGCTTTCTTAGCATTCGTGAGGTGCTAGGTTTATTACCCTAACCACATCTAAAAAAAATAAATAAACTAATAAAATAAAGGTATTGTGTTCATCTACAACTTAAAAAAAATCAAATAAATAAATAAATGCATAAAAAGTTGACTTTCCAGGAAAGACACAATACAGTTAAATTCCAAGTTAATATATCATTAGGAAAGTCCAGATAAACAATAAAACAGTATGCAAATTGTGATTAAAAGCTTCCAATCTTAGTCAATGGTTAAGACCACAAGCCAGAGGGCAAAACTGCCTCAGGGAATGTCACAGCTTCTCTGTTTTCTCATCTGTAAAATGGGGATCATAATAGCATCTCCCTCACAAAGTTGTCATCAGGATTACATGAGTTGAAACATACATGGTACATAATAAGTTTATATAACAGTAGTTTTTTTTAAGAGAGGGGGGGATTTTAATATTTATTTTTTGGTTATCGGCGGACACAACATCTTTTGTTTGTATATGGTGCTGAGGATCGAACCCGGGCCAGATGCATGCCAGGCGAGTGCGCTACCACTTGAGCCATATCCCCAGCCCTATAACAGTAGTTTTAAAATAACCAATCCAACAGGAGAGGCTTTAATTTACACCTTGAAATGCCAAAACACTACAGTAATTTTCATCTGCCTCGTAGCTATGTACTACACCACCACATACCCRTTTGCTCAGGCACAAATCTGAGAGCTGTCCTTAAAACATCTCTCCTTTCCATTACTCCAAAATTTAATCAATAGCCACATTCTTAACTTCACCTTCATGTCACAATTTCTGTTGATAGCATCTCTATTCCCATCACCACTACTTTGACCCACTTAGACTGTAGWACCCAACTGCTCTCTGTCATTAAGTCACTTACTCCCTTCCCCTAAACCAATTCAACCTCCAGAGTAGGAAATAAATAATGTAGTCAAAYGTAAATTTGATTGTTACTCTCTTTCTTAAAATCACTGTTACAGAAGACTAATGATTAAAATCCTATACACGCCTTACAAGATCCTGTACATGCTACCAATCTCTGGCTGCACTGGTGCTTTTCCCCTCTTTAAACGAAACCTGTCGTTTTTTTTTTTTTTTTTTTTTTAAAGATACTTATGCCATTAAGTTCTCTCTAGACTCAGACTTGTGGCATTTCTCTGCCTGGAATACTCTTTCCCATGGTGTTCCCCTAATCAATTCATATTTATTCATTAATTCTCAGTTTAAATGTCATTTTCCAAGAACAATAATCTTCCCTGAGACTCCTAACCAAATTTAGTCCTTCTATATTAATACAATATTTTAATATTTGTGTAAGTACATATTTATTATGTCTCCCCTTCTATTGTGCCAAACCACTGCTTGAAACTCAATTATTATCGTCCCACTATAACCAGAGTATTAAGAAAAACAAGCCAAAAAAGAAAAAAAACCCACCCTCTAAGTTTCTTACCACAACCTCCACAGTACCATGTGATCTGACTCCTGCCTCCCCTCTTATTTCTTATTACACACCCCTGTTCATTCCCAAAGCCCTGGGCCACTGGACTTCTTCTTGTTCTTTTAACAGGATAAACCCATTTCCCACCTTAGAATCTTTGCCCAAAACTTTTACCTCTGAATGGAATGCTCTGTCCCTAAAAATTCACGTGGTATCTTACCGCCCCCAACCCCCCAGACCTCAGTTCAAATGTTATCTCCTCTGTGTGGTCTTCCCTGACCATACAATCTAATTAGTGACCCCATCCCTAACACTTTAAAGGGTTTTTTTTAATAGTCCTTTTCAATATCTAAAATAACCCTTTTACATTTATTTACATTTGTATCTTCTAGTTCCCCCACCATACAATGTGTTCAACACTAATCATCTTGTTGATCACTCATTCTATCTTCCAGTACCTTAACCAATGCTTAACACTTAGCCTAGAAGATGCTTAATACTTTTTGAAAGAATATATTTAAGCATTTCACTCAGAAGTCTTACATCTACCATTATCTATTTTAGAAGCAAACGTAATAATTAATTAGTYTGGGGAAATCAAAGCAAGTCAAGAGTAGTTAAGGGTATTTACCACAAAATTATAATGAAAACTGATGGTTCCACAAAGTAAAACACTTTGACTTAAAAGGAACTTAAAATTAGTAAGTACTAAAATATCACAACAACCAAATGTGGAGATCGGTGATTTTGTAAAAAAATAACAATTTTGTTCTTGTTGTAAAGAAAGCATTAGTTTTCTTTTTTCCTTAATTGAAAAAGACAGGGGGGAAAACCCTAGGAAGAAAGCCTTTATTAACATAAAATTTTACCTGGATTAGTTAGCTATAGTTACCTTGTGGCTAAGTTTTTTTCATAGGCATGAATAAAGATATGCACCTCAGATAAACATACAGAGACTAAAGACTTTTTAAAATGCAAGTGTGGCAAAAATGTTTCAAAGGTATAATGAAAAACACAATGATGTGATTCACCTACCTTAACTCCATGATGACATCTCCACCATATTTGGCATAAATAAACATAAAATATCTCATCAAACACTGATAAAGGCAACTGAATAAAAGAGAACTATGGGTAAATTTCATTAGAATACCTGTAAATATCAGCATCTGGTGATTACCTACAATTACAAGTCTCTGAATTTAGTATTAACCTAATACTTTAAATGTCAATTAAGTCTTGTGWATAGAATACTTATTATATTTCCATTCTTATATGCCAAAGTACCGGAACGAGTAGATTTCAGTCCTACAGTATTTTTCCTGATTCAGTTCCAAGTCATTTCTCCCTACTCAGCGCCAAGGTTAAAGCTAAAAGACAACTAGATGATTGCCAGTTTCTCAAATCTCTCTCCTTACCTTAGCACTAAGAGTATCTAATAATCTATTCATCACAAGTCCTACAAAAAGGCACCTATCTTTAAAAAGACCCATGGTTGCCAGGATTAAGGGAGAGGGAAAGATGAATTACAATTTTTTTTTAGGGCACAGAAATAAACTCTCTATGATACTATAATGGTGGATACCTGATGTTATACATTTTCCAAAAACCCACTGAATATGCAACCTCAAGAGTGAACCCTAGGGGGCTGGGGATGTGGCTCAAGCGGTAGCGCACTCGCCTGGCATGCGTGCGGCCTGGGTTTGATCATCAGCACCACATACAAAGATGTTGTGTCCGCCAAAAACTAAAAAATAAATGTTAAAAATTCTCCCTAAAAAAAAAAAAAAAAAAAAAAGAGTGAACCCTAATGTGAACTATGGACTTAGATAATAATAATGTGTCAGGGAAGATTAATCAATTTTAACAAATGAACTACTCTCATGCAGGATGCTGGTAGTCTTAGAGGAAGGAGGAGGAATGTGGGAACAGTACTTTCTGCTCAATTTTGCTATGAATCTAAAATTGCTCTAATAAAATAAAATCTACTTAAAAAAAAAGACACCTGTCTTTTTACTGTTTAATCATACTTCATCTTAAATCTGTCAAATTCATACATTCAACATGGATTCCAACAGCAAAATTTACACTTTAGAGCTGACCTAGATCTGTCAGCAAACCTCAAGMATAATTTTTAGATAAGACAATAAAATGGTGCTAAAAATCTGCATTACAATAAACTGTTACTAATATTAGATTACATCAACTSAAAACTAAACTTACAAGAAGAGAACAAAGTAAAAATTAATTTGCTTTTCAGAAGCAATTAAAGTGTATTTTAGGTTATTATTCATATTTCAAACAGAAATCTCAAATTTTTATGGAAAGTAACCTTAATTCTGTCTACTTAGTCCATTTATAAAACCAATTATCTGAAAGAAAGCAAAGTAATGTTTTAGAGTCCAGTACTAAGACCTAAACTTTTATAACATATATTCAAATGAAAATAGTAGCTAAGCATTCAATAGTTCATTCTAGCACATATTTTTAAAAGCCTTAAAGAGGTTACATCAAGGTACACCTTTTTTTAATATTTATATTTTAGTTGTAGTATTTCATTTTTATGTGGTGCTGAAGATCAAACCCMGTGCCTCACACGTTCTAGGCAAGCACTCTACTACTGAGCCACAACCCCAGCCCTAGGTACACCTATTTCTAAGAATTTATTTTAAAGGAATAAACAAAGATACTAACAAAGATGTACAAGTTTACCAGTGTTATTT